CAGTTCATTTGTCCAGGCTTTTTAGTAAAACTGGATGGGTACAAAATGAGCCCATGCAAGCATAATGCTTTAGAATATAATGGATCTTGGAAGTCATGGCAAGATAATCAGTCACAGCATGTGTGACAAATCTAAAAGTGTGAAATTGAATTAGGATGTTTGTTTATAGAGTGTCATTCTGTTAGGGTGGCATCTCTTCAGAAACACTGACACATGGCATAGATAGCTGGCAGCAGTCACATTGACAAAAGCACAGACCAAACCCACCGATATGTCTTACAGTATTCCAGAAAATGACTGGAGACAGCTTTGCACAGTAGATCTACTCCACACTCAGGATATGGGCTCATGAAATGCTGAATGTATGGGAAATTAACTGAAAGAGAGAAGCTCTGTATTCCGTTGCAGCCTTACATTTTCTGTGACGACAAACCATTTAATATACTCTGATTAATACTCAAATCGATGCTCCACTGACCCTTCAAATCCAAGTCTTTGTGAAAAACGTTAGCCAGTTTTAGAAGAAAACATTTCTAGTGTCAAATCTCAACCACATAAACAGAAACGTCCGTGAAATTTTAACATTTGAAAATTTGAAAATTTGAAAATTAACATTTGTTTAAACGCGCGCTTTAGCAGGACATATACGCGGAAGTCAGGTTGTTTTGTTTGTTTTTTGGAGTGTAGGCCTGTTGAGGTCTTTTTGCAGTGTCTTACTGTGTGTTTTTTTTTTTTTTCAAAACTATTTTGTTTCAAAAACATTAATGTTCATAAACGTATTTATATTATTTAATATATTAGAATTACGTAGATGTTGAAGTCAAATAGGTTATTCATATATACAACCAGTAGATGGAAGCACTTGCATATGTGATAAACTTACCGAATATCGGCCCAGTGTTTTTGTGTTGAATGGGACACAGACTAGTTGTCATATTACTGTAAGGTTTGAGTAAAAAGTCAGTTTGCAGAAAATGCTTTTCTTTTCTTTAGTGGTTTTGTATGTTGGTTCTATACACAATTCAAAATCCTGTTTATTTAGAATTTTTTTGTAAATTTGATATTATTTGCACATTGGAATGAACCATTGGAGTACACACACACACACACACACACACACACACATATACAGCATGTAAAATAAGTACTGAACACGTCACTATTTTTCTCAGTAAATATATTTCTAAAGGTGCTGTTGACATGAAATTTTCACCAAACGTCGGTAACAACCCAAGTAATCCATACATACAAATAAAACAAAACAAATAAGTTCAGAAATTAAGTTATGTGTAATAAAATGGAATGACACAGGGAAAATGTACTGAACTACTGAAATTTATGTAATACTTTGTTTGTACAAAAACCTTTGTTGGTACTGACAGTTTCAAGATGCCTCCTGTATGGAGAAACTAGTCGCATGCATTGCTCAGGTGTGATTTTGGCCCATTCTTCCACAGAGTCTTCAAATCTTGAAGGTTCTGTGGGCCTCTTCTATGAACTCTGATCTTTAGTTCTTATTTTCTGTTGGATTCAACTCAGGTGATTGGCTGGGCCATTCTAACAGCTTTATTTTATTTTTCTCTAAAATCAATTGAGACTTTCCTTGGCTGTGTTTGGGATCTTGCTGAAATATCCACACTTGTTTCATCTTCATCATCCTGGTACTGTAGGTGTTGGGACTGAACCAGCTAATATTAATTTACACTGACAAGGG